CCTCCTCCAGACGATCGTCCGTTCCATGGCCGTTTTTTTTCTCTCTTTTGTTCCCCTCCCTTCCCCTCCCTCTTGTCAACCCATCATTACAATGATAATGGATCAGCCCGTTTTTTTCGATCCTCCCGCTACGACGGTGTAAACCGTGTGTAAACCCGTGTGTCCTCGCCTGAAAAGAGAAAAAAAGAGAAAGAGGAAGAGAAAGGAAAAGGATAGACTAATTCGCGCCACGCTCGATTTACACTTAGCCGAGAAGCGAAAATAATCGAGGAATAATATAAATATCTTAACCGTAAAAGAGGTTGAGGATATAATAAATAAGTAGAGAGACGCGGTGGGAGACAGAAGAAGGAAGAAGAAGAAGAAGGCACCAAGGTGTTGTATACTTAAACGATGATACCGTTTCGAGAAGATGGTTCGAACGATCGTGTTATCGATTGATCGCCGCACAGTTTGAGCGCGAAGACGACGCGACGGGAGAAAAGAACAAATATATATATGTATATATATATTACATATTCGAAGAGAAAAATCGAAGAATATTCGTAAAGATGAGGAATCCGATAGCGGTGGTTATTCTCTTCCTGTTGGCCGTCTCGATATTTTGCGATGGAACGACGAACGCCTACAACGTTCTAATGGCCACCATGGGTGGGACCAAGTCTCACACCATACCTTTCGTCGCGTTGGGTATCAGTTTGAAAACACGTGGACACAACGTGACCCTTTTAAGCGCATTTCCGGGACCAGCTGCGAATAATGGGCTGCAGGAGTTCGTCCCTCCCATTTTCGAGGTAACGAGCCAATTTTTTACACCGTAAATATATATATATATATAGCGCATAGTGTCTCTGTAACGAGAAAAATTTTACATTCGAAACTAACGACACTAAATTCGGGTAATATTATATATACGACCGTTTTTCTTTGCCTGCTTTAATTATATTCTTTTATATATATATATATTTATGGGAAATAGTTTCTAGATAAGCTTCCAAGCTCTGTTTTCAATCGCAAGTGTAAGCTGATTGCAGCGAGTTTACTCGAGTGAGCGCGTAGTCGGAGTACGGAAGGAGATTGTACAAAAGGGATTGCTTCGTGTTTGTATCGCGTGCAAACAGTTTGAATTATAAATCAGGAACGGGGGAGAATCGAGAAGCCTGGGGAATTTAGCGGACCATGAACGGAGAACATTTCTAATTACCGGCAATACTTGTGTGTACAAAGTGTGCGACAATTTTAAAATGTTAAATAAAGAAAGGAAGTAATTCTCGATCCAATTCCTCGGTCGATTCGAGAATTATTCGAATCCAATTCGTGTATACAATTGTGTATACAATATCGTATATTATATCATATAAAAATTATATAAAAGAAGGACAATGGGATCGTAAGTGCGCGACAATTTTAAAATGTTAAATAAAGAAAGGAAATAATTCTCGATCCAATTCCTCGTCGATTCGAGAATTATTCGAATCCAACGCGTATATACAATTATATCGTATATTATATCATATAAAAATTATAATATAATATATAATATTTTATATATTATAATATAAAAAAAGGACAATGGGATCGTAAGTGCGCGATAATTTTAAAATGTTCAATAAAGAAAGGAAGAAATAATTCTCGATCCAATTCCTCGGTCGATTCGAGAATTATTCGAATCCAACGCGTGTATATAATTATATATCGTATATTATATCATATAAAAATTATATAAAAGAAGGACAATAGGATCGTAAGTACACGACAATTTTAAAATGTTAAATAAAGAAAGAAAGTAATTCTCGATCCAAATCCTCGATTCGAGAATTATTCGAATCCAACGCGTGTATATAATTATATATCGTATATTATATCATATAAAAATTATATAAAAGAAGGACAATAGGATCGTAAGTGCGCGATAATTTTAAAATGTTAAATAAAGAAAGAAAGAAGTAATTCTCGATCCAATTCCTCGTCGATTCGAGAATTATTCGAATCCAACATGTGTATACAATTATATTATATCATATAAAAATTATATAAAAGAAGGACAATGGGATCATAAATGCGCGACAATTTTAAAATGTTCAATAAAAAAAAGAAAGAAGTAATTCTCGATCCAATTCCTCGATTCGAGAATTATTCGAATCCAATGCGTGTATATAATTATATATCGTATATTATATCATATAAAAATTATATAAAAAAAGGACAATGGGATCGTAAGTGCGCGACAATTTTAAAATGTTAAATAAAGAAAAAAAGAAGTAATTCTCGATCCAATTCCTCGGTCGATTCGAGAATTATTCGAATCCAACGCGTGTATATAATTATATATCGTATATTATATCATATAAAAATTATATAAAAGAAGGACAATGGGATCATAAGTGCGCGACAATTTTAAAATATTAAATAAAGAAAGAAAGAAGTAATTCTCGATCCAATTCCTCGATTCGAGAATTATTCGAATTCAACGCGTGTATATAATTATATATCGTAATTATTATACCGTATTATCGATATTATTATTATCGATATTGATTCTCGATCCAATTCTCGTTCGAGAATTATTCGACGCGTGCATATAATTATATAAAAATTACATAAAAGAAGGACGAATGTAGGATCGAGTTGTAAGAAGAAGAAGGTTGACGTTCGCTTTTATCGGCAGGCTTATGTCGGGAATTACACGTCCGAATGGGATTTGGTCGGTGCGAGGTTCCGGGATGAAATGCCCATCTCCCCGTGGGACGCGATGCGATACGCCTGGGAGTCTTGCGAGGCGCTTCTTCGGGACGAAATATCGGTAGCCTGGCTGAGAAGGGGCAAAGCCGATTCTCGTAAACGATGGGACGTTGCCGTGGTGGACGGAGCCTTCCCCGAGTGCCTTCTTGGAGTTCTCCACGGCGAGGGCGTGCCCACTATCATGCTAAACACGGTAAACAATTTCCTTGTCCTCTTTTTCTTAGATATCGAATTAATTTTCTACATAACGATTTTATTTATTTCTGTATAAAATTTAAAGAAAAAAAGAGTATCTGACGCGTTAAAATTAAATGGCGATGTCCGGGCGCAGGTGGCTTTGTACAGTGGGTCGATAAGTCGGCAAGGGAACCCATCTCCATGGTCCGTCACGCCTTACTTCGGCAAATCCCTGACGCAAGACATGAGCTTCGTTCAAAGGATCCTGAACGCCGCCTGCCTCGTCAGTTTGAGGATAATGCACTGGTTCATGATCACCGGATACCTTCAACCGGTTCTGAGAAAGTATCTAGGTAGTATCGGTGCTTTTACTTCTCGATTCATCACGATTTCATTCATCACGACGACTTTTTCTCCTCCTTTTCTTCTTTTTTCTTCCTGGAAAAGAAAAATAAAAAAGAGAAAACTCGTTTCACAACAGGGAATCAATTACCCGACGTGCGAGATCTGACCAGAGAGATCCCCCTGACATTGCAGAATAGTCATTACAGCGTGGCCGACTCGGTCCCTTACTTGGCGAACGTGGTGAATGTCGCGTGCCTCCATTGTAAACCCGCGACTCAGCTTAGTCCGGATTTGGAAACTTTTTTGCAACGCGGTGAGTAGTTGTTTCGTAAATCAATTGGCATTGGTTAGCTGGCAAATTATTGCTCGTTCCTCGGATTGCTTCTCGAGCTCGACGCGCGAATTTGACGTTTCAATTTTCACCATTTGCCGAAGAAATTCAAATAAATGGTCATTCGAATAAATGCGCAAATTTCTCGTAAGTTTTTCGCGTGTATATAATAATATAGAATAATAATAATAATATAATAGTAATATATAAAAAAATTATATATATTATATAAAAATATAATAATAATATAAAATAATAATATAGATTATTTCTCAACGGTGTCAAGTACACGGTAGTAAATATTTCAACGAACGAAATTTAGAAAAAAAAGATTACTATTACTTTGTCTTTTTCCCACGGATCGATCCGCGATACCGAATAGGTCATTTTCGTCTAATTCCAAAGTATAATGGCGAAACGTTGGCGCAGGTTTCATCTTCGTTTCCATGGGTTCGTCGGTCCGCGCTTCAGGCATGCCCGAGGCGCTTCGTCAAATCTTCGTGGCAGCCTTTGCCACGCTTCCGTGCAACGTTATATGGAAATGGGAAGGTATGAAGATCAAAGATCTGCCATCGAACGTCAGAACGGCGGCATGGTGGCCGCAGCAAGAGCTATTAGGCCATTCGAAGCTTCGAGCGTTTGTCTCCCACGGTGGACTTCTATCTCTGCACGAGGCCGCTTATCACGCTGCTCCCACTCTCGTTTTGCCCGTTTTCTGTGATCACGATGGAAACGCGGCACAAGCTGGTTAGTCGGATTTAAAATTGGCAAATAATATTATAATAAATTTAAAGAAGAGAGAATTTTTCAAAATCGAGATAATTGAAAGTTGAAAATTGTTAACATACGTTTAAGATATAATTTCTTTCGTTGCAGAAAAATTGGGTTACGCTTTGGTGATGGATTTGGCCGGAATATCCATCGGGAGTCTTCGCGATGGGATTCTCAAAGTGGCTGCGATTCACAACAATTCGTATCGAACAGCGGCGAAAAAGAGGAGCACGTTGCTACGAGATTTACCGATTAATCCTAGAAAATTGGCCACTTGGTGGGTGGAACATGTTGCCAAGTATAAAGGAGAACATTTAAAAAGTTCTACGAGGTAGTTTTTTCGATAAAGATTTCTCTAAAAAAAGCTCACGCAATAATTAATAAGGAATATACTGTTCCAGGTATATGAGCGTTATTCACTATTATTCCATCGATGTGGTAATATTTTACGTGATAACATTAACGCTATTGATGTACGGATTAAAGAAATTATGCTGGAGGACTATATCCAAACAAGTTGTTAAAAAGAAAATTAATTAGACTGAATAGTGTCAATTTTATAGCGATGAAATTCTGTGAAATTGCGATGTCTTTATATTTAATAGCATTCAATACAAAATTGTGATCATATAAAAGCAATCGTTAATCGTAATCGAAATGTACTGTAAAAAAAAAAATCTGAATATTTGATCACATTTCTATCATGTTAAAAATGAAAGAATATCGTCGTACAGATCTCTATATTAACTACTGTTGATTACTGTTACCAAACAAATTTGAAACAAATTTTAAAATTTTATGATAGACGATATTTATTATTATCATCTGTAAATAAATTAAAAAAATTAAAAAAAAAAACAAAGTAGTAAAAATATAAAATACTTTTAAAGTCAATTAAAAAAAAAAGATAATAGAAATAAAAATTTATCACTTCATAATAAATATAGCGTTTAAATTTTGAAAATTCTATTGCAGTATGTTCGTTTGTTTGCAACATTAGAGATAAAATTTTACGTGACGCGTTTTATACTTTTTTTTCTTTTACATAGAACGAACCACGATTAAATTTGAATAAAAAGGATCAGTCATCGCGAACGCATTAATCACTTCTAACGAGTTTTTTTTATACGACCTTCATCGAGACAAATATAAAAAATAATACACGATACTGTCGTTCAAAACAATGATCCAACACCACAACAAAAAATCTTAAAAACAAGTTACTAATACTCGCACGATCAACATGACACTGACAACACACATTTTCATTTTCCCCTCTACGTACAATAAAGGATGATGCTTCATCCATGATGTACGCACTTAAGGGGACTTATCGAAAGTTAACCTATCAGCATTGCCCACCGTCGAAATTAAACTCCAGTTACCATTCTGATCGTTTGAACGATAAATATTCACATTCGGGACAATAATTTGGAAAATAGATGTAATTTTGTTCGACTATTTGCAGCTTCGGTCATTTTATTGTCCAAATATATATTCGTGAGTAAACGATTAAACGTCGAACGATAATGGCTGAAGACAGGTAATGGAAGGAAGGGCTATCGCATCGTAGAATACGGTACTGATGTTAGTTAAGGGCTTCGTACGAATGGTGGCGCACAAATCGGATTCCCGACAAGACACGAGGAGGATACTCGTATTTCCACGACGCTTCTACGTCCATGACCCGTGGCGAAGTCGGCACTCGTTCACGATCGGATCAGTACCAGCTGACTCGTTCGTCAGAATGTTGGTGTGTGTTCTGTTATTGCGTTTTTGAGGGCTGCCTCGTATCAAGTGTTCTTTCGCCATCATTCTTGTGTCGGTTTGTGTACGCGAAGGCGATACGAGAGGCGGTCAGAGTTTGAATTGTGGAGCACGCGAGCACAGCCGAAAGGTAAATACGCGCTATGCGCGGTGGAATGCAATGTGTACGTGCGCGACAGTGGTGAGAATCGTGGTGTTTTGAAAGGACACGTTTACCCACGTGGAACACGATGCCAGTTTTCGGCGTGACTTGGCAAACTCGTTCGCGAGACGAAAAATAAGCGAATGGTCGAGGAAGGGAGAGAAGAGTCTGTGGGAAACGAGAAACGAGAAACAAAAGAGGACACTTGAACCGACGTTGTATAGCGGAGACAGAAAGAGAGATAGTGAGAAAGAAAAGAAGGGAAACAGAAAACGATAGAGCAAGATAGAAATAGCGGGGGAAAAGATAAAATAAAGACACGAAGAGAGGACTGACTTGACTGTTGTTCGATCGCGAAAACACGTGGGGAGCGACGCGGGAGTTCCACCCGTAGCGATGAACGTTCTATGGTCCGCTAAATGGGAGGACTCGTCGCGGGAGAATCCCTCGTATCGTATCTTGACGATCGATCGTTCCTCGGGAACGCGGCGAAGGTGCACGAGAAACGCTGGAAAACGGCATCCTGTCACACGAATATGCGCGAACGGTAAACGATGCTGCGCATACGAGCGTGTAGAGTTTCATACGGTGGCGGTAGGTGCGTGCTTCGTTTCTCTCGCAACTCGGGGGCCCTGTCGGTGACCGGAAAACAAACGACCGAGGTCGGGGCCGAAGTCCTCCATGCAAAATGCGCACGCTGGACACGCGTAACAACCGATGCAACAAACAAATGCTCTATACAGTATGGAGCTTCGTCCGTGTTGTGTGTCTGACGCGACGCTTTTACCCTCTTGCGCTTGCCTTTGGCGCGTGACGTAATCCATTCAAGCGCTTAC